CATGCCTTTGTCGAAAGATGGTTAAAAACTTTGTCCACCCTTCAACTGTCACTACAGACCGTGAATACCGGGTCGATTCCGTACTTTTCCGTTGTCTGACTACACTATAGGGAACCGTACGACTATGAACGACCACATATCACTTACAAACAAATGGGTTGGTAGAATGATTTCACTGACAGCTTAAAGTTTCACTCTCAGCTGCAAACCTCTCACGATAGATCGAGGCTCTCCCACTCGCTTTACTCAGTATTCGCGATACAATGAAAGCTGACATTTGGGACACTGCAGTTAAACTAGGAGAATCCGTGGATGTTTCATCTACTTCAGTAATTATGGATCTAAACTTTTACATGGGCAAGCTTGCAAACACAATGCATTCAGTTAAACCTATATTCTCTCGACTGCGATCAACCGATGTTTCCGTCCGACCTGCTTTATGACATAGTACACACGTCTTTGCACGTCGCGACTCATTTCGACGACCTCTTGAAGCAGCATATGAAGAACCCTTCAAAGTTCTTCAACGTGAATCTAAGTACTATGTCATCGATACGAACAGAACTAACGATAGAATCAGCATCGATCGCATCAAAGCATCGTATTTAGAAAGAAACCCTATTGATGCCGATTGTACTTCCGTACAATCGGAAGACACCAGTCGTACATTTACGATACCTCGGCCGATGGCCCAAACTCACGATAATACTTTGAAAGTATTTGAAAACAGACTCAAAAACAAATTTTTTGTCTGTTAGTATACTCGCCAACATGTATATATGTAAAATTAGAAAAAAACATTCTGTAAAAATCGCCTTTACGCTAACACATGTGCATTAGTTTACTTTCCTTTGTTTCTCCCGCTTCGTGTCTTTACGCACGTACGACTGTGATTCGACATGCACTTACATATCTTTTTTTTCTCAAAACGGCTGGAAGAGACTAAGAAGACGACGAAGTTTACGATGAACCAGAGTTTTCATTGCATCTTCATTACTATAGTGCACCATATGTCCTCTAATAGTAAGGAACTACGACCAGACGCTGATGAACATGGCAAGCTATCGAGAAGAGTGCTTACCAACGACAAACTCGTTGGGTTTAAAATTTTGACGGGTCACGTTTTAGGGTCATCACTGCCCCACTAAGGAGTAGTGATCTGTAGCGGTATGCAAATCTTCAAAATCAATAGCTCTGTAAGTCTTCGAAATTTGATTCTGACTACATTAGTTTTAATGGATTCGCCTAGCTGTAGACGCTCGATAAAGCATCCTCTCCAGGTCACGAGTGGGGACGCCGTGTTTCACGTTTCCTACAACCGTTAATGAGCTAAGAATGATCATTTCCTAGTATATCAATGGCCTATCAAATATATCTTCAGACCTCTTCGCTTCTAACTTACACTTTCCCTGAGTTGTCACGTTTCGAATACAGAAGGTGTTACTGAGAATATTTGCGGCGTCTTCAAATCATACAGGCTCTGCCAAATTAAAACATTATGGCCTACATATTGTACATTACCGCAGTGGTAGTTTTAGGAACATTTTGGTGGTGAGTGTCGAATTTGCAATAAGACATTCTTGAGAATACAAGTACTAACAACGCTCCAACGATAATGCATACCAAAAAGTAGGTTGGATTCTGCTGTTAAGACTACGTTTAATAATTGATTTATGTAGTAGAGAATCACTTAACTTGAAGTAGTTCATTTGTACATGAAGGCCATAGTTAGGGGGTGAAGAATATTTGAGTAAATAAATGTTGAATCTAATGTGATTCTAAAATCCTGAATTAGACCTACATTCTTTCGCCTACAATGTCCAAATATGCTATTAGATTTTGTACATTTGATCATGACTGGTTGGATTTTGCATATACTACTTTGAGCTTGTATATATTGGATTAACTTTAGTTTGATCGGAAGTTATGGGCTATCTGAAATTCATTTAATAGGTATATTATTATTTTTCACGTTAAAATATCGTGTATCTTGTCACGTATTTGTCAGTGTTTTTCTCACGTTGATGCCAAAGACAGCATCGCGTAAAATGCTCTACAGCTGTTAGTTTATAGTACTGGCAGACAACAAAAATTTGATTTCTATTTTTGTCTCTAAGAAAGGAATTCTTGTCTATATGACTAGCAGATTACTGCACTGGGCGACAATGCTCCCGAGCCATAACTTTAACATCAAGTATCAGTTAACAAATACCAGTCAGTCAGTCACAACGTAGAACCATACCCATTGCCATACTCATTGTTATAGAAGGATGAAGTTATCAGGCCAAATATATATATATATATATATATATATATGTATATATAGGTGTATAGAATGACATAAATTACTTGTAAGTGCAGCTTCCTATCTGCAGTTTCCGAAATTTAAATCGCCTTAAGAATAATCAAATGTCTATCTCCTGTCACTGTCTGCCATATGTAACAGATACATTTGTTTGTATTTGGTAAAGTACTGAATAAGTTTTCAGAATGCCAGAAACTTCTGGGAACAGAACTACGCTAGTTCAAATATTCAATATATCTGAGAACTTTTCCTCCAAATCACAACACGGGTACTTGGTAAATAAAAGTCTTGGATACTTGTTATTAAAATATACTTAGGTTATCCATATTCAAAGGACTCCCAGTCGTATAGTAACAGATGAATTATTTTGCTAAATTTGTAGCCCTCGAGGATTTTCAAGGTAATCAAAAGTCTATTATAAAGATATGTGGAAGTCAATTGATGCAGTGAATGAGGCAAAAAGCTATTTACCTGTAACGAAGATAGAGTGTTTCACTGACATTTTATCATGACAGTTAATCATTATATTAACGACATAAAATGCGGGTTGACTTTATAGTACTGGATTTCTCAGTTTTGTTTCGTCATTTGGTTTGGTGACGGAAACTGACAAAAAGACTTGTAGAATTGTATTCTGGATCGATTTAGTACATTGGTCTTCGTTACTATAATAGTAGACCTAACCCCAAAATTGTAGATTTGGCATGACCCGACTAACTAATCCATATGATCTTACGTGAAAGTCACAACTTGTCTATTCACAGTGTTTATGTATACGTAAAATGTTTGTGAATAATAATACTCTGGCTCGTCGTAACATGAAATCATCACAACGACGTTTAACACTTCTGAAGAACATATTTACGCTGGGGATAGAATAGTTTATTTCAATGTAAATAGGCGTTTGTTACAATGATGACCACATATGAGGGGCTGAGCCTTGAACTATCGATCAGTTGTTCCCACGTTTCTTGTTGTTGACCTTTTCCTGGTGTTATATGTTGAATATAAATATTTCCAGTAGTTATGTGATCGTGGAGTTGGGGATCAATGCCACAACAGGCAAGTGAAATCCATGGACACTAACAATGTAGATAAGTATTTTAAAGAGTTTGGTGGTACAATGGTTTTATACCAGGTATCTGGGGAGAAAACAGATGAATGAAATACAGTACATTTAATTCCAGAGTTGAAAGCTCATAACTGAGGTAACGAATGAATTAATAGGAAAGTGAAGCCATGAAATTTGTTCTCCTTCCTCATTCCTCCCTTCGCTGGGATCTGGTTTGTTTTCTCCCACAGTAGGTTATTGCTGATATTGTCCGAGCGACGGATCCGGAGTATTTTGCACAGACAATCGTTAATAAACACTTGTACCTTCTGGATGAGGGCTTTCGTAGTTCTCCAAGTTCCTGCTCCACTTAGTAGAACTGTCTTGACATTTATATCGAAAATGCTAACCTTGGTGTTGGCTGCCAATTGTTTTGAGTTCCAGATTTTCTTCAATTGTAGATGTGCTGGTTTTGCTTTGCCGATCCGCGCCTTCACATCTACTTCAGATCCACTGTGCTCATCAATGATGCTGCCTAGATATGTAAAGGTTTTTACATCTTCCAAAGCTTCTTTATTAAGTGCGATTTGATTGATGCATACTATGTTGTATCGGACAATCTTGCTTTTCCCTTTGTGTATATTGAGACCTACTACTACTGAGGCTGCTGCTACACTGGTCGTTTTCTCTTTCATTTGTTGTTGCGATTGCGATAGGAGGGCCAGATCATCTGCAAAGTCCAGATCGTCCATCTGCATCCTTGATGTCCACTGTATCACGCGTTTCCCTTCAGACGTTGACGTCTTCATGATTCAGTCGATCACCAGGAGAAAGAGAAAGGGTGAGAGTAGGCAACCTTGCCTGACACCGGTCCTTACCTCGAACGAGTCTGTCAATTGTCCTCCAGTTTTGCAGCTCAATCCATCATAGGAATTCCGTACGATATTGACTATCTTCTGAGGCACGCGGCAGTGTCGAAGGAGCTTCCATAGTATTGTTCTGTTCACGCTATCAAATGCTTTTTGGTAGTCAATGAAGTTGATGTAGAGTGATGAATTCCATTCAATTGATTGTTCCATAATGACCCGTAGTGTTGCTATTTGGCCTGTATACGAACGATTTTTACAGAATTCAGTCTGTTGGCTTCGAGGTTGGGCGTCTACGAAGTCCTTCATTCTGTTTAACAGCACACTGTTGAAGACTTTTCCTGGTATTGAAAGGAGAGTGATGCCTCTGTAGCTATCACACTTGTTGAGATCGCCTTTCTTTGGCGTCTTGATCAAGTGTCATTCTACTCAATGGATATTTACAATGAATATTATGTATTATAATTGTGGAGCCGTTTTTTTCGTATGGTTTTTTAATGCATCGATTAACTTTGAACTCTCCATATGGAAAAGCGCTTATTTTGCAGTTATGATACTTTATCGCTGTGACCGGGTTCAGTATGACATCCATTGATTATCATTGAGTATAGTTTTTCAGTACAGTTCTTTGACGACTTTTGATTGTTTTGTCGTCAAATTTCGACGAATGTAATTGTAAACTTATGAAGTCAGTGGCTGGACACTCTGGATATTCTTCTATTTAATCCTAAATACAGTGGGAAATTCGAAAGTTTTATTGACCACTTCTTGCTGAATAATGCTCAAACCTTCAGACCCACAGAATATTACATCTTCATGCGAACTATTTACGCCATACGGGATTACACCTGGACTAGTCAAACAAGTCAGAGAGAAATTTCAAAGCGAAATTTCAATGAACGAACTGTCTAGAAATATACAGTCTGGAGTTAAGCACCATTCAGCTACAGCCCGCCTTACCTGCGCTTATCAAAACCTTCTACACAGCGACAATGGAATTCAGAGACACAATACTTATCCTAATAGGAGAATCCAATCTACTGGTAGAGTTTCTGACTTGCCTACTCCTACTAGTTTAACAGCTTATAAAGTAAATGGACGACCTCGAACTGAAAGTTTTTTAGACACTCTGAAACCAAGTAGGGAGAGTTTTACGTCTCAGGTTAGGGTGGGAGAGAGTGGCAAAAGTACTGCACCAGTTCACCCTAATGAATACAGAACACAAACTGCAATAAGTGGACATCGAATTGAGAATACAAGCAGATACAACAATTTACCATCTAACATATCAAGCGTTGAACAAGATGAAGGTCGTCCGATAAACCACGATTTGCTGAATTCCAACGAAAATAAAAATAAACCAAAAGAATCAAAAGCATCCTCATCTACAAAGAACAACACACGAACGGATTTTAAGCAACCAGCGATATTACCTAAGCCATCAAAAAGTGAGTTAAGCAAGGATTCTCTTGTTAATTTTATGATACCTAGAGGGTACCAAGGCAGCAAGCGATCAAATCAATACGTATATAATGCTGATGAACATTCCTTTTCTCAAAAATCAGAAAATCCTCCTAGTGAAAAGACAAAAAGCAGAAACTTACAAGGTGGGTATACTCTGTTCAATAACCAGGCATGTTCTGAAAATCCAGGTCACAGAAATACGACTATTAGGATAAACACAAGAAACCATACAATTGCCGACCCATTCGCAAGACTCAGCGACAGTCATCCTAACCATACAACAATAAAATCGAAGAATGCATCAAATATCAATTCAGCCCACGATTCGTGGAGAAAGGATGGTGAAGGTGATAGGAATAAAGTTTCTTCAACGTTTAAAAAGTGTAATAGACCTTCAGAAAGTATAGCTCGTAAAAAAAGCATCACAGGTGATACAACGCAAGCTGTCACGGAACCTGTTCGCAGCAATTCAGTTTGTCCCTGTTCTTCACACTTTGATGGAGACCCTTGTCATACAACCCCATCGGTAATCGTAAACGATCCAAAATCCACCAAACCTATATCTACGTCCGTAACGTCATCATCTCTATCCTTTACTTCTCAATCTTTCACAATATTCAGCCTGAAAGAAACTTTTCACAAGCAAGAAGAAATCATCTCCAAAGTGAAAATAGTAGCTACTCTGGAACAGAAGACAGTTCGTTGTCTCTCGTAAAACCTGAGAAATCACATCAAAATTTGAATGATAAGGACGACACAGAGATATTTACTGCAGTTAGAGCAGTGCCACATAGGAGCACAGTGTGTACTGAAAAAAGTAATCCACTCATGAATAAAAGTAAATTTAACTTGCTCGCTGCAGCAAATTTGCACATCAAAGGTTCGGAATCGCCTGGGAACATCTCTTCCAAGAAAGTGAATACCTTGCCCACAGACAGTAGGGAACCAATTAAATCCACGACTGCTGATATGGACTTTCCTAACGTATCAACAAACGAGCTTGGTGTGACATCCAAGAACATAGTAGTTGGTCCAACTCATACAGATGACTCAGAGAAAACCTTTCTGGGCGAAAATAATTCACATCATAAGGCAAATGAAAAAATGAGTAATTTACCTTACCATAAGCGACAGACAAACTATACTATTTTGGACAGTGTTATGGGTGAAATGGAGCAATTATTCTCTGGAAAGCAAACAAATACACAGAGAAAATTGTCGAGAATACACAGCTTTGCCAGAGAAAAGGCTATGCAATGCAGAGAAGAAAAGGAAAATAACGAAAATAATTGTGCAAATGATAGTAACCTTGAGAAGACCCCAGAAACAAGTGGTTTAGATAATAAGTCTACAGCTAGCGGTTTAGACAATTACAGTAACGTTGAAACTATTTCTTCCGTTTCTCAGCCTAAGAATGAAAGACAGTCCGAGAGCTTTCAAGCAGCATTTCGAGCAGTTGAAAAGCATCTTAAACTATTTTCTGGAACTGAAGATTCTCAGAGCCTAAAGCCAAGTAAAATATCAAATGGTATATCTGAAAATATCATTAAAAATGGAAATAACAGTCAACCTGTTTGTCCGGAAATAGAAGAGCGTCCAGCAGATCCATGCAACGTAAGTTGGCTTTTTTGGTCGAAATATACCATTATATTTTGTAACTTGCAAGAGTTAGCCGTGATATATATAAATCTATGGGTATATGATGGAATATTTTACGCGAAATAGCCTTGTAAGAAAGTCTGATGTTCTAAAATGTCATTCAAATAGGTTTTCATGGAATTCTAATTAAAAAAGAGAAAATGTGCTGAAATGAGTGAACTGTGACTTTATTTTTGAAAACGTAACGCCTTGATTAAATGAAAGTAGCAAAAGTTGGGATATTGGAATCGAACATACGGCTATATTATGAACATATTCAGAATGTTATAAGTTTATCTTAAACAAAATTTTTTCTCCTTATATCCAAATGACAACGAACTTGAAAAACGCTCAAAAGCTACACACTTGAAAAGAAACATTTTCAGACAAGTTATATTTATCTCGTGCATTTTAAAGCCAGAGGTGGGTTTTGTCGGTTTTCATTCCGCTTTTGTTCTAAAACTTGTTTAGTCCGAATTGTAGAGTGAACGAATTTCATTAATGATGAGTACCGTTTTCAAAACGTTTGGAACTCACTAGGTCACTTTAAAGTTCTGATATTCGACTTTTCGAAATCTGTTTTTTTTTGGGGGGGGGAGTCTTATAAACACCCAAGTTACCTGAAAAAAGTACCTATTGATATGCCTGAAGTAACTCAGTAGTAGTAAGTGGTTTATTTACTTTTCACTCATCAGGTTATGCGTGGTACTTTGTGTATATATTTATAAATAATCCATCATCTTAGTGCCCAGTTATCATAGTTTTAGATCGAGAACATGTTATATTAGCTACCCATCAATGTTATAATACGCATAGCATTCTGCATTTAATTTTACCGATTAAGATCGATATTGTATAAATGAACTGAAGCTTTTAATTTCACCATATTTATAAAGCAAAATGAAACTCTTTTACTCGGTGGATTGGTAATACTAAGCTCATTTTAAAAGTGGTAGGATATTTCGGAGTGTTTCCATAAACTAAATGTGCCTTGAAGTGTTTGCATTGACCATCTGAGTTAAGAGCTGGATGCCGACGAATTACCTGAGTAAATAAAATTATTCTGTGACTTTCCTCAGTTTTCATTTCCTTATTTCATCACTTCTCTAAATGTTTTTGTTGCTAAGTTGCCGGCATCAAACATCATTAGAAGATTTTGGTACTTAGTTATTATGTGCAATTCAGAAAACTTCATTTTTTAGAAGTTCAGACTTTTATTAAGATACTATCTTGATGTCTGTTGGCAGTGACCATTGACCATAATTTTCTATGCTCAGCAACGTGGTTAAGGTAATATTAATTGATTAGAATAATAAAAAAATGTAACGACGTTTTTATCGACTGCTTGCCTTGTTTTAAATATAAAATTGCGCTTTTAAACCCAAGCTAAGCTTTTTGACGTATATCAACTTGTAACTGATGTGAATTACAAACCAAATACTTTTCGGTATTGGAATTAGATCAATGCAATTAAATCTCTAAATTACGAATTCTTTTAAAATTGCGAAATAATGATACTGTTAGTTGACTGGTTTTTCAACTCGCCAAATCAGAGCTGAATAGTCATAACATCATTTTATCTATCATCCCACCCCTGAAAAATATGTGATTTGCAGGAGATATAGATCTTTTATTTGACAAAATACTTATATATGAAATAGGCAGTAAAGTTGTCATTAATGCTGAATTATCAAATAAGTAAAACTTGTTTTCTGTAATGAAACTCAAGGAAAAAGCTTCAACAACTACCAAATTATTGTACTCTCAATGCCCCTAAATAATATATGTAGTTTGCAAAAGTATGGTTTGCCTTTACGTTGCTAGTTGGTAAAATTCTTCCAAAAATCACAAGTGATTTTCAAACCTGTCTTTATATTGATTCATCTATGCGTACAACAATATCCTGGACGTGAGATTTAATGTTTTCGGGAAGCACAGGTACAACTAGGAGTATTGTTATAGAAAATGAAAGGATAACGTGATTACATTTTCTTGTGTATTTTCAATTTCAGTAAATATAAATATTGTGATCTCTATAAATTAGGAATGTAAATCTTTTAAATATTTTTGCCCGTAAAAAAATAAATATTTGTCAGTGGATTACTAAACCGATACACATATATTCAGTACATCGCAACTTATTTGTGGTTACCTTAGACAAAGACTGTATATCACATTCTCATTGTACTTACTTGCTTACGCCTGTTACTCCTCGTGAAGGAGCATAGGCCGCTCACCAGCATTCGCCATCCAACCCCGTCCTGGGCAATCCTTTCTAGCTCCGTCCAGTTGTAATTCATCGTTTTCATATCTGCTTCTATTATCCGACGCAATGTGTTCTTTGGCCTTCCTCTTTTTCGCTTCCCTTCAGGATTCCAAGTTAGGGCTTGTCTCGTGATGCAGTTTGACGATTTGCGTAATATATGTCCTATCCATTCCCATCGTCTTTTCCTAATTTCTTCTTCAGCTGGAAGCTGGTTTGTTCTCTCCCACAAAAGGCTGTTACTGATGGCATCCGGCCAATGGATGTTGAGTATCTTGCGTAGACAGCTATTCATAAATACTTGCAGCTTCTTGATGATGGTTGTTGTAGTTCTCCAAGTTTCAACTCCGTACAGTAGAAACGCCTTGACTTTCGCATTGAAGATTCTCACTTTGATATTAGTTGACAGTCGTTTTGAGTTCCATATGTTCTTCAATTGTAGGAATGTGACCCTTGCTTTGCCGATCCTCGCCTTTACGTCTGCCTCTGATCTTCCTTGTTCATCGATAATGCTTCCCAGGTATATGAAGGATTCTACATCTTCCAGAGTTTCACCATCAAGAGTGATTGAATTGCTGTTCTCCGCTTTGAATTTGAGGACCTTGGTTTTCCCTTTTTGTATGCTGAGGCCTACTGATGCAGAGGCTGCTGCTACACTGGCTGTCTTCATCTGCATCTGTTCGTGTGTACGTGATAGGAGGGCTAGGTCATCTGCAAGTCCAAATCGTCTAATTGATTTTGAGCTGTCTATTGTATTCCGTGTTTTCCTTCAGATGTCGAGGTCTTCATAATCCAGTCGACCACCAGAAGAAAGAGGAAGGGAGAGAGTAGACAGCCTTGTCTGACTCCGGTCCTTACTTGGAATGCATTTGTCAGCTGTCCTACATGCACTACTTTGCACTGTAGTCCGTCGTATGAGTTCCGGATAATATTGACAATCTTCTCAGGAACTCCGTAGTGTCGAAGAAGTTTCCATAATGTTCTCCTATCTACACTGTCGAATGCCTTTTCATAATCAATGAAGTTGATGTATAGTGATGAGTTCCACTCAACTGATTGTTCGACGATGATCCGTAGTGTTGCAATTTGGTCTGTGCACGACCGATCCTTACGGAATCCAGCTTGTTGATCTCGAAGTTGGGTGTCTACTGCATCCTTCATCCGGTTTAGCAACACTCTGTTGAAGACTTTCCCTGGTATTGACAGTAGTGTAATGCCTCTGTAGTTTTCACATTTGCTCAGATCTCCTTTCATTGTAAGTATAGCAAATTAAATAATTAAAAGAAGGTTTGATTAGACTTAAATAAAATCGATTCCAGAATGATATTTGTTAGTTAAAGAGGTTTAGTTTCATACATCGAAGCTTGAAAGCAAGATCTGGTAAATTCTCAGTGATTAGTTAGCTATGTTTCGGAAGTATACGTGACATGTCTCTATCAATTAAACTAAACAGTAATCTACCAGAAGATCGTTATTTAGTTTCTTTATTTTCACAATTCCCGTAGGTTTCGACAAAACGTCCTAATCACGAGTGGGTTTTTGCGTAGATATTTGAAGTCAGGATGTAATAATCCACGAAACACCATGAAGTCATAAATACCTATCGAGTAGACTTGTTATTCTGTTTTCTGAGATTCTGAGTGACAGGAAGTATTTATGAGACATTTCGCTGGGAATCCTTTGATAGTGAACTTAGTCACATACATTCCCATAAAGCAACTATGGCTTCAAAGTTTCAGAGAGCAGGCAACATTTAACGTTTCTCGAAACAAACTGCAATGATATGTAATATAGGTTTGTTGTGATTAAAATTAAATATTGGATACTTGCGAATATGATTCTGATAATACTACCATAGAACCTTTTTCATTTTCTTATTGGTTATACGAAAAGTTTAGAAATATAGTTAATACGTAGTTTATTGTCTTTAATTTTAAAATTCAGCTCTTATATGAAGGTTCAGATTCTTTATGTTTATTTCTGTTAACTTAAATTTAAACACCAATCCATTATTATTTATAACTTGATTTAGAGTCTTTTCTTTACGAAACCTTATTTTCTATAAACGTACAAATCAAAATATTAGTAATTAGAAACCAGAGCACTTCTCTGGTATCTGTCAAATTTTATTTTAAACATTCACCGTTGATTAACGAAAATCGTAGTGTATTCTATTTTAATAAATCCTGTTTCTAGCCATTTAAAGGTTTTACCTATCGCACTGTAAAAACGGAATTCAGTAACCCACGACTGATGATGTCATATGAGGTGTATAGTGGTTCATAGAATTTATCACAAACTGATCACTTAATAATGTACCTAAAGGTTTTAAATAGTATACGCGGTTTTATCGAAATATTATTTATAATTAATCTAAAGTGTCTTCGGAGACAAAACATTTTTAACTGTTCAATGTTTGTTGTTCTCATATAGAGTGACGATTAAATTATTTAATCACGGATCAGAAAAAAAAGATTAAAACTAGTGGTGGTCTACATATATGATAAATTAGAATAATATAAAATGGCATAAGATTTACTAACTGACTTTATTGCAATCGCTGAAATAATTAATTTTCATTTGTTTAAAATAATCCTAGGTTTGAAGCCAATGTTTATTTAAGCATAATTTACTATAATTAAAAACAATTAATAATTACAAAAACCAAGCATACCGTTTTCTAGTTAATACTATTGTTTTATATATTTTGAGCTGACGTCAAAAGATATAATTCATTTCTACCAAAATTAACCAATTCAGAGTCTTGGTATGTACTTACCGTATATTTTTAAGCTCACTCTATGCAGGTTTTCTAACCGATAACTATCAATGTTGTGACATTAACTTGAATGATTTCTCCGTCTAGTTCCAGTTAGTAGGTTAATTGCCTGGTCATTAATCTTTTAAAAATCAACAGAACTGTATGATGTTGAAATAAACAATTTTTTAAATTAAGATCTTATTAATAATAACATTAGCTTTCATTAGCCCTTTCATTTTTAAAACAACATAGATATTTGACATAAATAGGGTTTAGTTTTTCTCATTAAATTATTTGACTTTTAAAAACTAGATATTTTTCCAAGAAGGGATATACTACAAAATACCGTTTAAGTGAAACGCCATTTAAAGTTTGAAGACGAATGATACACTTTTCGTAGTAACTAAAGAATTCTACTAACCGCTTGTTATATCCCAAGTGATATTAATTTACTGTGGATGGCCTAAATTTGTAGGGTTTTAAATAATTTACAAGCAAAAGCCGAAAAGATTTACGCTGAAAAGCTTAATCTAACTTTAAAAACCTGACAGCAATTTAATTTCTTTTAATATAACATTGAAGAATATGACTTTCCTTAAAATCTACTGAATTAGGTTTTCTCGTCAGCAACTATAAATTCGATGTCCGTAGAAAGTGAGGTTTGAAAATACGCAGTTGGTAAATTTTTAGTAATTACATACACAATGCCAAAAAACCTTTATCTAATTATTTCCTTTAAATATCAATAAAAATTAAACGGTTGAATGACAAATCGACATTGTAAACAAATGTATACATTTCATTTTCCAATGGAAGGATTCCAACCAAGATAACGTAATCAACAACATAGGCGTTTTACGTGGAATGATTCCCCAGCCATCCTCATCAATTTCGTCTTCACCTGTAGCCGTTTATATAAAAAATAATAATTTGGATTCACTCCCACTAACGAAAGTCATCAAAAGTAGGGCGATAACAAAACCTCTTCAAAGGAAAAATGGAAACATATTCAACTTTCAAGCACACAGGAATACTGTGTTATGTAATCGAAAGTTGAACCAAGAGAATCCTGGACCGATTCGTCTCAATGATAAACGTAAAAAACATGTGACAGTTTTAGGTCCAGAGTACATTACAATCTATGAGTTATCTAACAAACTGGAAACCAATACTTCTGAGGTAAGTTTACATGAGAATACACGCATAACTGAATTTACTAACAAGTATCAACACGGAAAGAACAGTTCAACATCTAATTTTAATTCCGGTTCAAATATAAAAGATATTACAGAAGAAATCGATAATAAAGATGAAAATTCTTTAAATCATTTGATTAAAAACAACGTAAATAATAAAGATGGTTTACATGTTAGTCCACGTGACAGGTGTGATACAATGAACCTTCACCAAATGAATAATCAACACTCAACATACAACGAAAACAGAAAAAAACTAAGAGTTCAGTTGGAAGCAATTTTTAGCAAAGTAACTGGAAAACATTTAAATACCATGTTAAAGGAAGAAAATAACGACAAAGTAATTACTAATTATAAAAGTTCCAAAAATAATGAACAGAAGGGACGACCACAACACTGTGAGAACTATCTTACTAGTAATCTTTTATATCATGGGAAGATAACTGATTCCAAGTCAATGAAAAACCGTAGTTTTAACAATAATGAATCAAACTACAATCAACGTGAAAACTTAGGAATGTTTTCTACACAAATTACCAAAGTTGTTAATGAACTAAGAGAACTTCTATGTGGAACCTGGCCGTTGAAATCCAGTCACATGTTAGATGTACAAAAATTTGTATGCCAGAAAAGTTTGGAGTATAAACAAGAACACAATGAGCTATCAGCTTATCAAAAAAGTCGACAAAACCAAATCTTATCGTTAAGAGAAAAAAATGACAAGTTTAGAGATAGTACAAAATTGTCCATACCATTTGAAAATTCAATCGTAAATTTAAACCGTCCATTTTCCACAGAACTAGGAAACTCAGATTTGTCCTCAATAGTTAGCGCTGGTTCTGAAGACAATCTATCTTTCGAGAACATAAAAAAGTCTGCAGAAAAACAGTTAAATAGCATTCTGCAGAAGCGAGGAGATATGAATGACACAAGACCAGTTTCAGCCTCATCATGCCTTTATCCTAATAAAACCAGTATTTTAGAACATCATCCAACAAATAAGTTTTTACCAAGTCACGGTTGTGGTTTTTTTCTTAGCAAACCCCAAAACCAAAATAGGGATAAAACTGAACCCGAACATAACGTTGTAATTGCTTCCTTGAATACATCAAGCAATAAACCAAATGAATTTATATACCAAACCAATCATTATAATTCGGATGCGACTTTCGATTTGACGGTTCTAGACTCATATAATAAGTTAAACAAAACATCTAACCATTTCAATTCATATTTGCCAGGAATACAGAATATTTCAAAACAAAAACGGTTAGTAGATATTCCAACTTCTCCCATTGATGAGGTTCACAATACAAATTATTCTACGTCTGAAATCCCTTTTGCTCTACCTAATCAAGACTTATTAGAGTTAAAAAATAATAAAATAGATGATACAAAATCAAAACATAGGAGTCTCATTGAGTTTCGAAAGTGGAATAATTCTAGGAGACTATCGGACGCTTCATTCGACATAGACGTTAATGGTTTCGCTGATGGTTACACAAACCACAGAAACCATAATATCAAATGTGCTGCAAATAACCTAAAAAGGTACGTTTATGATGATCGTTTGTCTTCATTTTTTGATTATATTTACGTCCCTGGAAATAATTCTCAGCTGAAGTTCAAGGAAAAAGATAGACAAGAGACGTTTATCGAATTGAGGCGGTCTAGGACTGCTTCACCTGACGTTTATTCAAACAAATTCAGTACCTTAAATGAAAATAATTCTCAAACGAACTCAAATGAATGTAATCAGATATCGAATTTTACCCTACCAAGATTTTTCATAGAATCAGATCTAAAAAGTAATAGAATAATTCCCTCTAATTTCCGTAATGATTATCTTGAACGGTTTTTCCGTCCATCTAAAGAAAACCTTATTTCAAGTAGACTAGATACTCTGAATTTATCATCAAGAAGATGTAATCAAAGAAGGTGGCGAACTATAAATCAGAAATATTCGAAACGTCAAGAATGTGAGTTTCGCTTGTTTATTGAATATATATTTATATGTAACGTAACTAAATGCTTCTGACTCAAATAGGTGGATAACATGTAACAATATTAAGACATTTAATCGTTTGATCAAAACAGAATTTGGATTTCAAAATGTTTCTAAGGTTCACTAAGAGAGTTATGGAATCACCTAATTAATCTTGAAGATACGAAATTATGTTTTCGAGTAAATGAATTAAATCTATCCGAAAAACCTAAAGAAACTAGTACGCCTTGATGTTGTAGATGTGAGACGTAGATCGAAAGATAGGGTGAACCTTGCTGAGTGAGCAGATCATAACAAGTAAATGTTAACAAAGACTGTATAGTTTAGTTCTCAGTATAGCGAATAAAATTGTGAGTGACCAAATGTCTAATGTCTTAAGCAAATAGTGCTATATTCAATTTTCAGTCCGAGCATCATAACAGTGGGATATTCATAAGACCAGACAACTGGTGATAGTCAAGTTTGAACTATATATTATATATATACGTATTAGTTTGTTAACTATCATTTGATAGCCATCATCGTGTAAATTTTTTAGAGTTTAAGATAATCTTTGAACTATAAAATTAGTTAATAAATTTAATCACTTACACCATAATGAAACATTCGAGTTTATTTTACCGACTAAAATAAAAGTATAGAGTTCTCTCATCAATAATTCTGTAAGTAAAGCTGGTTATTAATGAAATAAAAAAATTGTTTTTAGTGATCACTGAGTCATGAATCATCTTGAACGTATTATTTTGTGAGTTAAACTATGCTTCTTTCAGCACACATTTTTTATTGGTATTACTCCACTTTTGAGTATATTTATTCACAGTGACTTTGCAGTTTTATTTGATTTCAAATAGGCATAGTTTGTATGTATTGATATATGGGGATACCCATCAATATTTTATCTATTTCCTATTCTATATCTTGAAAATTAAAACATTATGATAGTTAAAATATCACTTAAAATTCATTGATATTTTTCTTAACATAAACATAAGATTGGTAACTTATCAATATTTAGCTAAATGTCTAGATTTAAGTATCACGATTATTATTCGAACGTTAAATATGGATCAGACAGAAGAAAGCTGGACATATGTCAAGATAGATATTGAATGAATGTAATGTGAATCTAATCAGAAACACTTTACACTCTCAGATATTGTCTTTTTATATGACTGTGATAAAACAACAATTAAAATGAAATGTATTATCAAATGTAGTAGACTTGGATAAGACTGAAAGGCATGATTTTGGAATTTTTATAAATAGTTAGTTGCTTAAAAACTCATATTTAAAATAATCCAAAACATAGAATTGATAAGGTCTTGAAGTTTATTGGCCAAAGTCCTGTGGTAAGTATAATTAACTTTAATTGATTTAAAATATAGACAGATAACCTTCTTTAGATGTATAAGAAGCAGTAAGAGTTTATCATGATCTTATTTGTCTGAATGGTCATATATATTCCTGCCCAACAATCTGGATTCTTCTTTAGTTTATACTATTATTTCTCATGTAAAAATAATAAAAACCTACCTTCCTTACTAACGTCTGTTTCTCCCAATGGAGTGTAGGCCGCCGACCAACATTCTCCAACCCACTCTGTCCTGGGTCTTTCTTTCCAGTTCTATCGAATTGTTGTTCATTCTTCTCATGTCTGTCTCCATTTCTCGACGTAATGTGTTCATTGGTCTTCCGCTTCTCCCTGGCCTTGAGGATTCCAAGTGAGGGCTTGTCTTGTGACGCAGTTGGTGCTTTCCTCAATGTGTGTCCGATCCACTTCCAGCACTTCTTCCTTATTTTTCCCTCCGCTAGAATCTGATTTGTTCTCTCCCTCAGTAGGTTGTTGCTGATAGTGTCTGGCTAACGGATCTTAATTATTTTGCGTAGGCATTTGTTAAGAAACAATTTGTCTTCTAGATGATGGCTTTCTTAGTTCTCCAAGTTTCCGCCCTTCATACAGTAGACCTGTGTTGAAGTTTATATTGAAAATTTTGACTTGTTGTTGGCTGATAGTTGTTTTGAACAAGAAACCTAAAACGAAAAAAAGTCGAATATTTAATAAGTCAATCAAGTTAGCATATTTAACATTTTTTCCATCTAAATAGTAGGGGCTACAAAATCTTGAACATGTGTGGTGGCCTTTCTTAGACTATATTTACACTGTATTCCAGTAATATGAGTCCATAAACACTTTACAGTGTATTTTAGCAAGTGAAAAAATAAACCCTGGAGACTATAATTTGGGGACTAAACAATGAAATAAACGATAATGACTCGTGGATTTCGGCACGGAATCCATTCATCCATTTGGTTAAATAGCATTTTAGCTGATGTCAGTTCATGATGGAAACCTTTACTTTAATTCCTAACCCTAATTTTAACTGTGAATCCTAAGAAATTATAAGGAAATTATGAACAGAAAAACTAACTTTTCCGTGTCATTACTTGGCACCTAAGGTTTACGTAATTTGAGTCGAAGTCGAGATAAAATATCGTTCAATAGTACACTAAAAGGTTTCATGAATAAGTAATTTCAATGTTTATAACTCACTACAAAATTTAATTTCTCTAATGTCAAAATATTTTTACAAAAAAGTATTTGATCAAAGTTTATTGTGTAAATTTAACACTCATGTGTGAAGTATACTTATATTGAATACATCACTTCATATAAGTCATCACAGTACGAGGTCGATTAATGGGCGGCTACAACACAACGTTTCACTATTCCGTGATGCTGGTTTGTTTTATAGAGACAACAGTCTGAAAGGTTCTTAGACGTTACTAACACATTTTTCATCGTAAAGGCTGAAATCATAACAATAAAGTCACAATACGAAATAAGTCTAAAAATAATTATATTTGCTTGGATTATATATTATGAAATATTTTAGGTTAAGCAAACATTTGTCAGATATTGCAAACTAAAAATAATGGTACCACAACTTAAAGCATTTGTTTTTTCAAACAACAATGATGATTTCCTTGAAAAAGCTTGGACCAGATTGCCAGGCGAATAGTTGGATTTACTCCAAATTCTTTCTCTGAGATTTTACAAATACATTCTCCTCCTTTAACAATGAGGATGTTTGAAATGAATGAATGAGAGTAGCTGTAGTTGGTGAGTCATGTACTTTTCTTCCATCAGATTTCTTTTTTAGTGTAACTTGAACAACTTACATGGACTGAATTGTTATTGAAGAAACAAAAACCTAAAAATAATTTTATTTTCAAGTTTTGTTAAATATATTTTCGATGAAACTGAATGAACATTTACTTTAAATAATCAGCAATTGTTTCATGAAATATATTTGAATATGAATGTGCATGTTAACTAGAGACTACTGATCAATATTTCGCCACATTTATAGTCAATCAACTTAAATACAGAAAGTAATTACGATCGCTTTTACTTTGACTACTTTTTTAACACTAATTAATACGTGAGACAGCAAAGTAGCCATTGATTTCACCAGAATAATATGTGTTCAGAATTTATCTTTATTTAATCCATAAACTGACTGATAAATTTATTTCACTACGGTTCGTTCCCTTCATGTATGTTTGGGTAATTAAGCTATCAGTCCATATTCTCTGATTTCGTCTTTCTAAGTTTTTTATACAAGGTTTTTACTTTTCATTACCGACTTAAAATATTAACAAAATAACTGAACTTTAAAACATGAATAACATTTAAACTAATGCTTGTTACTAATTTCAAATCAGTTCGCAGAAACCTTTCATTTATTCTTTTGAACGTAAGCTATTTCACTGTATAGTGGTTAAATTTAATCAGATTTGTTGGCAGTTGCTTGCCGTGTGTTATCAAGAGGAGATTATCGACAAATAACATAAAGTTTAATACCAATTGTCAAATCAACATTAAAATCATGTTGGTTTCTTAAAGAATAACTAAGTAAAGCAATCAAAGCTATCCATAAAAATTAATCATAATGAACTGATAATTTCATATCTTTTTTATAAAGTATTGATGATGTTTTTTTCTCTTTACGTTCGCGTCGAATTTTCTATTCACCAATACACTGAATTAATGAAAAAATCATATTCCATCTATTAGGTTGAATATCATGGTGATAAATATAATGTTTTTATTACCAATGGTTGGAGACTCTTGGTGACATGGCTCAGAATCGATCACAATGGCGTCGATGTATTCACACTTTGTCTTCCCTTACACCGTGAGATTGAAGTCGCTTCATATCTTTCTTCCTGCGAACTAATTCTTTCTTCCTGTACTATACCTTTATATGCAATCTTTCTTTTATATGTTATCATCACTGAATTAACTACTTCTATGAGTCCGGCGTCCATCTTGTTGTGCTAATGCGATATGGCAACTTGGACCGACGTACATATGTGACCAATCCTACGTTGTAGCTGATTGACTAACTGACTTTTATTATCATGAATAAACTGTTGTCTAGCATAAGTATACTTTCATTGCGTCATAATCTAATAGCACTTCCATCGGAAAAATTTTACAATAAATTTAGTTTTGTATTATATCTATGGAATTTAAGGTATTCCAATAATTCCTGTGAGCTTTTCAAAGTAACAATCTTGTAAAAATCAGGAATATAATGTGAAGATTAATCAATTGCTTTCAACTGTATATGTTTTTGAAATTATTTTCCTTTAAATATCTATGGATGTAGTCGTGACATAAATTAATGATTTGAATAGATTTGACGTTTAAAGTAAATTAATTAGTTGGATATCAATAATCGAAATGAAAACAGTATAATGTGTTTAGAAATGGCTTGTAAAAATCCACTGCCATGACTAGTCATTAATTGTATCTGTGACATTTCAAAAGTTCTAATGTATTCTTAAATAGTAAACTTCCAAAGAAACTCCGGATACAACTTGATGAAAGTAAATAACATCAGAGCCCTCCAATCACTTTTCTGTTAACTACTGCACGAAATCTATCCTCTACTTCAGTCCCAAGTTAGTCAAAGAATATTTCAACCAACTAATAAATATTAGATAACCACTTGAAATAAGTTTATGCATTTTCGTCGAAAGCTGAATAAAGATAAATTGAATAATTACTTAATTTAACTATTTTGGTTGTCTTAAACTGATTTGTAAGCATAGTGTCAATAATATTTTTATTGTAATCTGGGTATGTATGTAGTTAGTATTGTTGGACACTAAAGTACATGAATGACACCATTCTTAATCTGAATAATTTCATTCATATATTTTAAACGTTGGATATGAAATTTAATGGTTGACATAAAAATGATATCACTACGTGTACCAAAATCACTTGGAGATATGTAATCATTAGATAGGTTTAGGATTAGAATAATGGGTAAATATACTTGATGAATACAGAAGTATATTAGATAGTCAGAAGAAGTTCATAGAAGGCCTTCTTTGACCTAAGACCTCGAAACCGCATCACCCTGAATAACAGATACAAAACACTGAGTTATTTGTTGGACGATTGTCTAATGCAGTAACCAAATATTTATATAGTTATTCAGTATGAACTAAGCACTGATTATTTTTAAATTACATTGAACCTTGCAAGTAAAATTCATTGACATTATCCTAGTATTTATAAATAAATGTTTTTATAGGTGCGAAGATCATGTTATTCGAAATCTCATGGACGATTTCAGCTTTTCTCAACCAAATATTTGAAATCCCATAAAATTGAATTTAAGGCATGTTATCTATCTATTGTACACAATGTCAAGTAACTTAAACGAAGTGGAAATTTTAAGGAATGCTTACTTATAAAGTGAAAAAATGTGACCAGTAGAGTAAATGATACAGTAGATCTATTAAAATACATCATGAGTCTAATGAATTGATTGTGTAAGATAATGAATATGAAATCTAAGTAGACGGATGAACTTATACTTATTAA